ACATTTTATCTGGTATACAAAACAAGCGAGGATGTCTGAAGAACTATTCTGACCCGAATAGTAGTATCAAAAGCCTGGAAAAAATCATTACAAAAAAGTATAGCCAACATTTACAGCATCACACAAATTACGGAATTTCAGCACACTGAAAGATTGAATACTGCCGCAACACCTAAAATCCCGTGGAAAGTAAAGAATGAAACAACCAGACTGCAACAGCCCACAAAGATGGTGGAAAAGATACTTCGCGCCTAAATCTGATAAGCAGACTACCGAAACTATAAATCAGAGTTGAGTTTATTTCCGGCTATTTACAGTGCTATCTTTCTTTTCTGAGTTGAATTTATAGTTTTGGTCGTTTATAGTGCATAAAAACTAATGCTATCGTGTTGAATAAATTAAATCTAGTGAAATCAACCCAAAGAATATTCTTTTTCCTAGATGTCAATTTTACATCTGTACTTTTACTGAGTATACTTGTTTTCTGACATGTTGGACTGTTAGATTCAATAGATTTGGTTTTCTGTAGTGTGATCCGGTTAAATCCATGTGGCTTTGTGTATGGTTTTGTGGGGGGAATATTGTGTAAATATATTGCCATTCTCGTGCTTTTCTCCCAGTCCATGTCGTCCCATGATATTTTCATATCCGGTGTTGTCCATTCCGACATTGACATTTAGGTCTCCCATCAGGATGGTCAGGTCCTTTTCTAGACATTTCGCTATGGTCGATTGCAGCTTCACGTAAAACTGACCTTTATCGTCCTCATCGCTATCATTGGTGGGTGCACAACATTGGATAATATTCACTGTGATTTCTTCTTTGTTTTGAAGGATGTTTAGATGATCCTGAGTCCATGAAATTCCCATCCTATGAGTGCTTTCTGTGCTTCTTTGGACAGTATCAGAGCAACTCCCTAAGTGTGCGGAGCGTTTTCCTCTTCGTGACCCGAGTATATCAGCATCTCTCCTGAATCTGTCGTTTTCTGTCCAGCTTGGGTCCAATGGGTTTCACTGATTCCGAGAACCACCAAGTTGTATCTTTTCGCATCTCTAGCTATTTGACTGGTCCTCCCAGTTTCCCACATTTTCCGGACATTTGGCATGCCTGTATTGATTGTTGCTGTGGTTGTTAGAAGGGACATCGGCCTCATGGCTTCCGAAGAATTCTGATTTTCACTATGAGGCGTTATAATTCTTCTGAATCAAGATCCTTCAACTATTGGGGGAGAGTTTAATTTGTTTAGTTTGGTTAGCGTTTTTTAGAAAGGTTTACTACGGGTTGGGGTCGCCGACCCTATACCCAACCCTCCTCCTTTATCCGGTTTTGGTACCGACAGTAACCCCAGAACATCAACATGCGGAATCATGTTTTTACCAAAGCATTTAAAATGCGAAAACCGAGAGGCTTCATTCTCAATGCATTTTTCAAAATGGATCTAGAATCATTAATAACATAATACTTGTAAGATCTATCGCTGAATTCTGTTCGTCATTATCTTCTGATTTATGTCTATCTGACATATTGAGGATGGAATTATTACAACGGAATTTCACTAGCTAAATGCTTAAGATCGATGCACCCATTCGTTGTTGTTCCCGATACCAGACCCTGGTACTTAAACCCCACTTTCTTGACTTTTTATTAATTTCATGTCTTTACATATTGCTCTATTCATAATTTATATATTCCTTTACTTTTCCGCTCACTTCAGTAAACATTTGTTCGCTATTACACTCTTCTGAATGTTTGTGCTTTATTTATAACCTATAATAATAATAATATATTTCTGCATGTGCAGGTACACACCGTTTTTACAGGCATAATCTATAAATTACAACATTTGTTGGTTCGCAAAATGCTTCCCAACTTATTAAGTTTATAGTTGTTATAAAGTGAAATCGTAGAGGGCTTGCTGTAAACTATGACCTTGAGAGGACGCGTACGTTAAGTTTGCTCCAAACGTCAGAAGTTTCATAGCTGTGCTCTCAGAGCAAGATTCTGAAGGAGAAAAAAAAGAAACAGAGGAGCAGCAAGGCACTTGGATATGAACGCCAAAGGTTGCTTAACATTGTGTAGTAGAACGGACAGAGGTATAATAAATTAGAATAAATTCATATTATGTCTTGTTAGAGTGAAGTGAAGTCAGAGGCTCCATATTAGAGAATGTACTAATAAAGAACAACGAGTAGTGATGTTTAACAAGTTGGAGTAAGCTCACATGAAGGAAGGGAAGTCAAGGTTGGTACAAGGGAAGCGGTTTATTAGGAGGGTGTGTATATAGAGGGTGAAGTGTTAAGAATACTAGTGACTATATCTTTTATTGTCTTTTTTATTTTCTTTTTCTGTCCATCCGATGTCAGCCACGCAATCCTAGTGTAAAAGTCCGAGTTAGCATGTTATCGTCGCGCGCTATTTAAAAAGGACAGTGGTATTTTTCCTCGCTGAGTAAATTTCATTGTTTTGATCGTTTATTACGTATCAAGACTACTGTTTTTCACTTTAATTGAATTTATTTCAGTTAAAGTATTCGACTAACGTATCGTTTTTACTGTTTTGTCGTTGGTACTCCTTAGTACCACTTTTTCAACTGTATCTGTTAGTACTTTTGGTCCTAGCAGTCTACAGCTCTTCACTTTTTTTGGTCATTGATAATTTTTTTGTTTCTAGGTATCATCGCATATTGAAAAAACCCCTCCTAAATGACCGGACAGTGTAAAAAAAGCAGTTGCCAACGTCCGGGTTGTCGTTATCCTGTTGAAAGCGGCATGCAGTGCGACGAGTGAAAGGCTGGTACCACGAAGTTTGCACGAACTTAACGCCTGCTGCTTTCAAACGGTTCAGTAAGAAGGGTTGTGTGTGGCTTTGTCAACAGTGCTGCTCGGATGCAAACAGCTTGTTAACCGAGGCTATCTCACTGGTCGATGCTGCAAAGAAGTGTTTCAACAAGCATAGTCGGAACGCGTCAAACAGCACTCGATCTGTTGACACGCAAATCAATGTGAAGGAAACTAAGGTGAGTCCGGTGATAGATGACTCACGCCCATCAAAGAAGGAAAAGCAGTCTCCGAAGGGGCCTGCCTTTAAGAAAAGCTCAAGAAAAGTAGGGTCTTCTGTTCCCCGTCTCCCAGATGGGATCCAACAGGAAACACCTAGGAGCCGCAATCGCAAGGCTCGATCGGTTTCAAATGGTCAACATAACACGACCCCTCAGGTCGTCGACAACCCCCCAAAACCCAACACTAGTTTTGACGCAACTGCTATTGCTTCTACCAGCAGCGTTAACGAATGAGTAAAGGTTGTAAGGAAGAAAAGTATTGATATAAAAGGGAAACCTGCCCCCGTAAAACTGGTTGAAAAATCGAAAGCTGATCATAGCGACAGATCAGCTATTTTTCATAGAATTAAGGGGAGCGATAGTTCTGAACCTAAAGCTCGTTTTGAGCATGATATTGTACTGATTAGGCAGTTGCTTAATCAACTCATGCCTCAGAATATGACTGGGGTCACCTTGCTAAAGGTGTATAGACTAGGGAGTCTAACGGACTCGAAACCAAATCATTCCAGACTGCTTAAAGTAGTATTCAACACTTCGAACGAACGTGACCTAATTTTACAAAATGGACACAAATGAAAGGGTTTAGGAGTCTTTATCCGAAAGGACCTACCGTTGGCAGACCGTGTTAAAAGACGGGAAGCTGAGAAAGAACTACAACATAGGTTAGACGCTGGCGAAAAGGACCTGAAAATTGTAAATTTTCGGGTTGTAAGACTTCGACAGAGAATGATGCCGAAGCCACTCTGGGTGAAGCACGAAGGCACCTAAACAGGCTTCGGATCTGTTACACCAATGCACGAAGCTTACTTAATAAGCGATCGGAACTAGGTGTACAGATTGACTCTATAAAGCCAGATATAATCGCAGTAACAGAAACCTGGCTGACACAGGCTATAGATAGTATAGAACTTGATTTCGAGGGCTTTACGTTAGTAAGGGCCGACAGAACACAAAAGCGCAAAGGAGGGGGAGTAGCTCTATTCATTAGGAATGCTATCCCATTTACCATTATCGATAGTGTATCCCATGAGAGTGGGACGTGTGAATTAGTTAGTCTTCGCTTAAAATGCAAGGGACAAGAGCTGCTGATTGGTTTGGTCTATCGCAGTCCAAGCTGTGAGGCAAATGAGATCCTGTTAAGCAGTCTCAATACTTGGTCCCAAAGTGGTCGATGTCTAATCCTAGGGGACTTTAATGCACCAATGGTAGACTGGGAAAATCTGCGAACTGAATCGTCAGAAAATTCCTTCGAGCAGGAACTAGTTGATACGGTTATCACATGTGCCCTAGTGCAACATGTGAAAGAAGCGACTAGGTACGACCCGGACACTGAATCATCCTTATTAGATCTTATACTGACTCACTATGAGGATGATGTTGCGAACCTCCACCATATGCCACCCTTAGGTAAAAGTGACCACGCAGTTTTAACTTTCGACTTCCATATAACTGCCAGTCATGAGGACGCGTCAGTCCAGTCCAGACCCAACGTCTGGAAAGCAAACATACCAGACATCATGCACTCAGCATCGTTAATAGATTGGACAATAGACCCAGAGTCCTCCATTGAAACGGCCTGGGACACATTTCGAAAATCATACTTAAAAGTTACCACACCTCACATCCCTTGGACTATACCAAAGGGGCCGAAAAACTCACCACCATGGTTCAGTAGGGAGGTCCGTATCCTTCTCCGTAAGAAAAGGAAAACGTGGGATAGATTTAGGTTACTGGGGACTGATGAGTCAAAATCTCAGTATCGAAAGGCTCGGGACACTTGTGCCTCGACCCTCCGTAAGTCTAGAAAATTGTACGAAGAAAAACTTGTTAAGGAATTGTTATAATCTCAAATTTTCTTACGCGGTTATGACCCAGCTATTCCTATTGCTTAGTATTCTCGGACACCGATTCACTCGACAAGTCCCCAAATCAAAACACGGTTGAACAGGAAGAGATTATATTCCAAATAACAAGGTTAGATGGAAGTCAGAAGCACAATAGGGAAAACGTCAGCATATTTATAGTTTTTACGTAAGAAGATTCTAGAGTCTTCTCCAACTATCGACCAGTGCTGATTGGATAAGAATTAGCCAATCAGCGTGCACCAAAGCAATCATGCATTGAGCATGCTACAATCCGGTCTATGTCCCGCTAACACCTCCCCTTTGAGCAGATTCGTAGGATCTGGTGCTAGGGTCCAACTGCAACCGAGTGACTGGCCTGTGCTTTCGATTAGTCCATCGTCTAGGCAATAGAGAAGTATCACTCTTTTCTTGCACAGAAACTGACGTGTCTATTCCCGGCGTTTTGATTTCAAAGGTGTCTAGCAGAACATCAAGAGGTAATCGATATTGAATCTTGTTGCTGGCTATCGAAGTTGCTTTCAATTGGTTAGCATGACGTACCCAAACTTCTGAGCCAACTGACACCTCGTAAACCACACTCCCCTTCTTTTTCAAGATCCGACCAGCTGTCCATGTAGGATGTTTCCCACGATAGTCCATAGCAAGCACTTTTTGTCCCACCGTGAACAATCGTCTTTGTGCCCCATGATGTCGGTTAAACTGATTCTCCATCGATAGGTTTCGTTGGGGTTCAATAGCTGGCGTAGGACGGATGACATCGAAATGTGTACGTATCTTTCTGCCAAGTAGAGCTTCTGCTGGAGAGAGCCCGTTAATTGTCTGAGGGTTCGGTGTAGAACGATAAATAAACAGGAACCTCTCTAAGATATCTTCAGTGGTCCCTTCCCCTTTGGATTTTTTTAGAGCATTTTTAAATGTACTCACAAAGCGTTCCACTTGGCCATTTGATTGGGGATGGTATGGAGGTGTTCGGATGTGCTGGATTCCGTTCTGCCGACAAAATTGTGAGAAGATTTCGGACGTAAACTGCGTTCCGTTGTCACTAACTATCAATTCCGGGATTCCAAAACGACTGAATAGTTGACGTAGTTTACTGACTGTGCAGCTTGCAGTCGGGTGTTCCATGAGAAAAATTTCTGGCCACTTGCTATATGCATCAACCACCAAAAGGTAAGTTTGTCCATGAAGTGGACCAGCAAAGTCCAAATGTATACGCTGCCACGGTGACTGTGGTATTGGCCATGATTGCAGCTCTGCTTTTCGCGGTGCTTTTGTTGCTAATGCACATTTGGTACACGAACGGGATAGCTGCTCCAGTTGGGTGTCTAAATGCGGCCAGTATACATAACTTCGTGCTAGTGCTTTCATGCGATTTATTCCAGGATGTCCTGCATGCAATTGTTCAAGCACTGCTGGTTGTAGCTTCTTGGGAATTATGACACGTTCGGCAAACAGCAGACAGTCATCGATGATTGAAAGAGAGAGTCTTCGCTGGTAAAACTGTTGAAGGTCTGTGGAATAGATTTTCGAGGGCCACCCTTCTAGGTGGAACTTTCTAACTTCTTGTAGTGTTGGGTCTCGAAGCGTTTCTTCCCTGACTTCATCTGACGACACTGGAGTGTTTCGAATGGCATCTGCCACTATACTTCGTATTTCTGGGTCTACTGCTGTGGAGGCAATGATTATATCCTCTGGTCCAGGATGTTGAACTCCAATTAATCGGGAGAGAGCGTCAGCTTGACCGATAGTATTTGTCGACTGATACTTGATATTAAAATCATAACTCAGGAGCATTGTTGCCCAGCGCTGTAGTCTATTAGCCGTATAGACAGGGATTCCTTTCTTAGAACCAAAGATTGCAATCAAAGGTTTGTGATCTGTCAGTAGAGTAAATGTACGACCATAGAGCATTTTATGAAATCTTTTGACTGCGAAAATGATTGCAAGAGCTTCCTTTCCAATTTGGCTGTAGTTTCGCTCGGCTGGAGTAAGTGATCTAGCAGCATGGGCAATTGTCTTTTCTGATTTATCTGGAAACACGTGAGATATCACTGCTCCAACTCCATGACTAGAGGCATCAGATGCAACAACAATTTTCAAGCTGGGATCGAAGTGCGTCAAAAGAATCTTTGAGCTGAGCATTGATTTGACTCTGTCAAAAGATGCTTGACATTCTGCTGACCACTGCCAAGGTTTATCTTTCGATAGTAATTCATTTAGGGGACCTCTCACTCGGTGCATTTCAGGCAAGAATGTGCTGTAATGACTGATTAACCCCAAGAAGGATCTTAATGAAGAAACATCAGTTGGTGCAGGCATCTTCTGAATGGCTTCGATGTTGGCAGGGTCTGGTCGGCGACCGTTCTTATCTAAGATAAAACCAAGGTATTTGATCGAATGCATGAAGAAGATACATTTTTCCTCACGTAGTTGGAAACCATACTCCAACACTCGGTTAAGGACTTGGTGTAGTCGATCAGAAAGTTCACTGTCAGTTGAACCCATAACTATGATATCATCTAGATAAGCTGCTGTACCAGGTATACCTGTTAGCATCGTATTCATTATTTGCTGAAAGATGGCGGGTGCGGTCTTGATGCCAAATGGTAAACGGGTGTATTGAAATAACCCTCGATGAGTGTTAATGGTCAGAAGCTCTCTACTATCTTCATCTACTTCCACTTGGAGATAAGCATCGGAGAAGTCTATTTTCGCGAAACATGTCCCACCATTAAGCTTGGCAAACAGGTCTTCCGGAACTGGTAAGGGATATTGATATACATCTAATGCAGCATTTAAACCGGTCGAGAAATCGGCACATATGCGTATAGTCCCATTGGCCTTCTTAATCACTACAATCGGTGCGGCCCATGCAGAGTAGTTAACTGGTCGGATTACACCAGCCTGCTGCAAGCGATTAAGTTCCTGGTCGACTAGCTCAAGAGCAGCATATGGCACAGGACGTCTCGGGCGAAAAATAGGTATGGCATCTGGTTTCACTGGTAAGTGCGCTTTCATCTTGGTACAGTGGCCAAGGCTATTCTGAAAAACAGAGGCAAACTTTCTTTTCAGTTTTTCTAGTAACCGTTCACCTGTCTTCTTTGGAAGTAATGGGGTGTCCAATGATGAACACGATGCGTTACAGACACTGTTAATTGGTATATCCATTATTCCAAGTTTGTCTAGCATATCTAGACCAAGAAGATCAAGGTTCGGCCGTTCTGTTAGGTAACATATTCCTGTACAGTTAGTTCCATTGAAGGAAAATTCACACTGTAATTCACCAACCAGTTTTAGCACACCGCCTGATGCGTTTTTAGCTGTTTTCTTAGATGGTTTCATTGGCGGTTTACCCAGCAAGTTATACGTTTCTCTAGACACTAACGTGATATCTGATGCCGTGTCAATTTAAAGACGAGCTGATATGCCGTTTATCTGGATGGTAACATACTTTCTCTGAATGTCATAGTTTGTTTGAAAGGCAGCTACCAGAGAAAGGGATTTAGACTCGGCTGATTTCACATGTCGAGGACGTTTATGCTTCTTCTTAGGCTGAGACGTACGCTTCGGTGGACAATGACCTTCTTTATGTCCACGTTTGTTGCACTCCTGACATTTATGCTTCTTGAACGGACAGAATCGTGCATAATGCCAATCACCGCATAACCAGCATGCAGTCCTTGGTTTGTTACGAGTTGTTACCGGCTTCTGAACTTTCAACCTAGTAATAGTATTTACACTACCGCAGGTTAAATTAGGATTTACCTGTTCAATCAACTCGTTGTCGTGTCTGATGCTTTGTAGACGCTTACACTCATCTGTCAATGTTCTGAGTGTGACGTTTGGGTCTTGATCCAGTCGAGCCAAAAGTCTAGTCCTGATCTCAGCATCTTGTGGTGACTGAAGAGCTTTGATGAATATTAAGCATTTAAATTGGTCATCAGTCAACGAGCGTAACTTGAAACGTTCACATTCTCTGTTGACAATGTCTGCTAGAACACCATATTCATCAGCTTCGCGTTTCACCAAATTTAGACACCGATATCGAATACTAAACAACGAGGATGACTCGCCGAATATCTCTGACAACTGAAATACCGTCTCCTCGAAACTGAGCTCTCGAGGTAACTTTGGCAATATATGGTCAGCAAAACGTGCATGTTCACTGCTTCCCAACTTACGTACCAACAATCGGGTCTTCCACGCATCGTCTTGGTTACAGAATTCTGTTCTGAATGTATCTTCCCAACGTTTGAACCAAGTGAGAAAAGTATTTCCAGTTTCGGGATCATAAATGAATTCTGGGATGCTGCTAGCGACTGCATCACAAGACGTACTTGAAATAGCATGTGAATTCGAGCAGTGGATGTTAAGCTGTTGAGTCAGAGTCTCCAACAACCGCATTTGTGCATCAAGTTGTGCTTGCTGTTGTTGTAGTATTCGGTTAAGCTGGTCATCTGATATGGGCATCTTGAATTTGTTTTCCATCCCATCCCCGTCGCCACTGTTATAATCTCAAATTTTCTTACGCGGTTATGACCCAGCTATTCCTATTGCTTAGTATTCTCGGACACCGATTCACTCGACAAGTCCCCAAATCAAAACACGGTTGAACAGGAAGAGATTATATTCCAAATAACAAGGTTAGATGGAAGTCAGAAGCACAATAGGGAAAACGTCAGCATATTTATAGTTTTTACGTAAGAAGATTCTAGAGTCTTCTCCAACTATCGACCAGTGCTGATTGGATAAGAATTAGCCAATCAGCGTGCACCAAAGCAATCATGCATTGAGCATGCTACAATCCGGTCTATGTCCCGCTAACAGGAATCCATAGAATGTCCTAAACGCTTGTATTCCTATATAAACCAAAGGACAAGGAGAAAAGGAAATATTCCTGCTCTATGTGGAGACAGTACTGCTTCATCATTAGTGGAGGACGACTTTGGTAAGGCTCAAGCGTTCTCGAACTACTTTAGCAACGTGTATACCATAGAAGCGCCCTTCTCGTCAGCGTATACAGATCCCCCCATACATACACTGGATAGCATGACCATTAAAGAACTCGATGTCTTTGGTCTGCTAAATAAGCTTGACATAGGTAAATCCACGGGGCCCGATGAATTACATCCTAGGCTACTGAAGGAATTATCTAACTTCGTTGCGAACCCTTTAAGTACATGCTTTAACTTATCCGTTACGCAGGGTCGCTTACCGAAAGATTGTAAAAACGCCATAGTAAGTCCTGTCTTCAAAACAGGCACGAAATACAAACCTGAGAACTACCGCCCCGTTAGCCTAACTAGTGTGGTTGTTAAAATATTAGAAAAGATTATTCGGAAGGAGCTGTTTAAGTATCTCGATAAAAACCGGATCCTCTCGGAGAAGCAGCATGGCTTCAGAATAAGTTATTCTTGTCTCACTAACTTATTAGTGGCTCGTGAAAGCTGGTGTGCTCTTAAGGACCAAAAGCTACCTGTAGACGTCGCCTTCATTGATTTCAGTAAAGCTTTTGACAAATTTCCGCACAACCGGCTGTTATATAAGTTAAGACATGTCGGGATTGGAGGTAATTTATTGATGTGGATAAAAGACTTCTTAGTTGGGCGTCAACAAATAGTAAGGGTGAACTCAAAGTTATCTAGCTGGGAAACTGTGCTTAGTGGAGTGCCCCAGGGTACAGTTTTGGGGCCAGTGCTATTCCTCTTGTATGTAAATGACCTTCCTTGTCTCCTATCATCATCGGTCTTGCTATATGCTGACGATGTCAAGATATGGAGAACGATACGATGTAAGAGTGATAGCTTAGAACTTCAAAATGACTTGAAGAAGTTATCTGAATGGTCTCAAACATGGCAGTTGCCGATAAATACTTCCAAGTGTGTTGTGATGCATATCGGTCATCAAGGCACAGATACATACACGATGAATAACACTGAGCTACCTGTCGTCCAGACATATAATGACTTAGGAGTTATCGTTAGTCAAGACTTAAAGACTACTGCACACTGCCGTGCAATAGCCGCCAAAAGTTTTAGAACGTTATGGTCAATACGTAGGGCTTTTAGTCATGTCGACACTAAGACGTTTTTGACTTTGTATACAGTGTTCGTTCGTCCTAAACTTGAGTACTGCATACAAGCGGCTAGCCCCTGCTTTAAAAAAGACAGAGAGCTTCTGGAAAAGGTTCAGAGAATGGCGACTAAGCTGGTTCCCGCAATAGCGAAGCTTCCGTATGAATCTCGACTGGCCAAGCTGAACCTTTTCCCGTTGTCATATCGCAGAACTAGAGGCGACTTGATTACAGTCTACAAATTGCTTAGTGATAAATTTGCACCTAACATGCCCTCATTTTTCTTGTCTTCCAAAACAGAGAATTTACGAGGACACTCCAAAAAAGTTCATAAGCCGAGAACAAATTACTTTTCAGCTGACTATCGACTTTCCCATCGAATCATCAACGAGTGGAATTCACTACCTCAGCACGTGGTTGAAGCTCCATCCGTCGACTCTTTCAAAAGAAAGTTGGATCAACTGAGAGACCACCATTGCCAGGACTAACATAGGCCATCGAGCCTCCTGTCCTTCCCAAACTGAAACTGAAACTGAACTGATAGGTTGTCTTAGTAGAATAGCTAATCCAGCATATTATTGGAAACATGAGTCTGAGTGGTGAGCGTAGGAAGACAATCTATATCTTAGATTGACTGTCTTATTCTCAATTATAAAGAGCCTGATACATACAAAATGTTCTGTCCCCACAAACACGGGTGGATTGAAGTTATCGCCCTCACCATCAATGCTTGCTGGTCAGTAACTCCACCCTCCCTCCTTTTGTGATGTTAGGCTCATTTAAGCTTATTTTTGTATATACGTCATACCTCACACAATCCTCTGTTTCACAACTTGTTGGAAAGCACTATTTCTATAAGTACCATTTTACAAGCTTATCAGGCAGTTACAAGCTGTGGACTGTGGGTAAAGCATCGGTGCAGTGCCTCTGTTTACTATAGTATAAAGTATAGTTTGCCAAACAGAGTATAAGCGTTAAGAAGGGTATATTGTAGGATAGTTGTTTATTTAAGCAGGCGGAAAAAGTATAGAAGTATGAGTTGTGGATAAGGGAACGAGTGGAGAAATAATATTAATTGATAGTCAACATAGTGTACAGAAGAGTAAAAAGTTAATATAGGATAAACAGGAAGGAACTCACAGTAACTTGGTGCTGATGTCATTTTCTGTTGTCTTAACCAGTTGATTGGTAACAGGTTCCATAGATGCAAGACCACTGGTGCCACCACTGGTAGTAGGCAGCCGATTGTGGGGTCCTCTTGACTTTTTAGGGTGGTAGTGAGTGTCCCTTATCGACCGAGTTTGGTTTAACAGTAATGATAGGTCCAGTGAGTTACCTGTCTACTTCAAGTGAAGAAATGGGGTGGAAAAAGTAATTAATACAACTGCAAAGTAGGAAAAATAAGGCAAACTGAACTTGAAGTCCATTTTGGTCTAGACATGGAGAGAGCCTATGATGTCTGAGTGGGGTGCAGATGTGTTCGTACGTGCAAGATCAGTGCGAGTGAGGGCTTGATCAAGCAGTTTCACAAACGTATGTAGTTCATCTGCCATGCGAGTCTCGGAAGGAAGACTGTTCCATATTATTGCATACTTGGTGAGGAAGAAGTTTTCCCGAGTTTTTGATCTGTATTTCTCAACTTTGACCGTAGATACTTTGTTTCGAAGTTCGTATTCATGTGAATCTCGGGCAAGAATTATCTGACATGTTGAGTAAGTAAGGTTTTTGAGTAGTTTGAAGTAGAGAATCAAATTAGACCTAAGCCTTCTCTCCCAAAGGGGTGCTATTCCTAAGATTTGGCATCGAGAACTGTAGTCAATGACCGAGTCAGTCTTAAGTACTTTGCGGGTGAAGTCTCGTTGTATTCCTTCCACCTTTAGTATATCAGATAGACGTAGGCTGGAAAATAAGAACGAGCAGTATTCAACGATAGGTCTTACACAAACTTTGTAAAGAAGGATTTTAGATTCATTTTGATAGAAATTACGGAGAATGAAGCCAAGCAATTTCCGCATTTTGGATGCTTTGGCTGTGATGTGTTCAGAGAAATTAAGACTGTGTGAATAATGTACCCCTAGGTCAGTTACTGATGCCAGTCTGGGGAGTGTGTGATCGCTAATTGTTAGTTTCATTTTAAGGGACGTGTCTCCTATACATAACCAGCCGCATTTCTCTATGTTGAGCTCTAACCTCCAGCGTTTGCACCAGTCATCTACCATGTTGAGTTCATGTTGGATTGTTTGCATAGTACTGCGTAAATCGCAAATGTCAGTTTTATAGATGACTTTTAAGTCATCGGCATAGAGGTAGGTCTTACCTGTGCTGAAACACCTGCATATATTGTTGATGTAGATTATAAAGAGCAATGGACCCAAGACACTACCCTGCACAACACCACTGGTTATCGGTCGAGGTGTAGATGTATTAGAGTTAATCTTGGTTATTTGATATCTGTTCGTAAGAAAAGACTTGATCCATTGCAAAAGGGGATTTATAATTCCAACTGACTTCAGTCTGTTGATTAGAAGATTATGAGGTACTTTATCAAAGGCTTTCTTAATATCGAAGTATAGTATAATAACTAGTTTCTTCTGGTCACGCATACGAGTAACCTCGTTAAAGAAGTCTATCAGGCATGTACTGCACGACCTTGTTCTAATGAAGTCGTGTTGTGACGGGTCTATTAGATCTTCCTTGAGTAGGTGATCAGATAGTTGATTTTGTATCACTTTTTCCATTATGCGTGATATGACTGGAGTGATATTTATAGGTCTGTAGTTTTCTACCAGGTTTCTCGGTCCGGATTTGTGTTTGGGAAGAACATACGTTACCTTCCAGGTTTCCGGATATGTACCTGTCTCTAAAGATAATGTGTATATTTTGAGTAGTAGCGTCTGTATGTCCGGCCCTGACATTTTATAAACGATTGAAGGGATGTCATCGGCACCAGAACTCGCATTTGGCTTAAGGGTTTTAATGGCGGTATGTATATTCCTAATGTCGAAGTTTATGGTACTAAGATAGTTTTTGCCGGTGCACTTTATGTCGATATCTGGGGCATCAGATGTATTCCCATTGTGAGAAAACCATTCACTTAATAGTTCACATATGACGGTTTGGTCATTATACGTTACTCCATCGTGCAGTAAGGAGTGAATGTTGTTGTCTGTGTTCTTTCTTATGCGTTTCGTGAGGAGACGACATAGGGCTTGGGCTTTAGATGCGGCAGCGAGCTCAGTACGTTCCTCTACCTGTTTATGCTTGTTGTGTTGACTTTGTACTCCGTCAAGTACAGAGTATATCTGGTGCAGGGCACTGAAGTCTTTTGATATATAGTACATCCTTTTCAGTTTTCTCAGTTTAGACCTAGTCTTTTGGTTTATATAGGGAGTAACTGTTTTAAAACCAATTTTAGAGGGTATAGTGGTGTCTAGTGCAGATTTGGTGGTGATATTGAATATTTCTAATGTTTCTAAGAGGTTATTACTGGTAAAGAAACTGCCCCAGTCAGAGTGCTTTATTAGAAATCGAAAGTTTTCCCAGTCAGCGTTTGCATAGTCTCTATATTGGAATCGCGTTTTTAATGTCTT